AGAAATAATAATAAATTATAATAATATATGCTAGAATATAATCAAAATTGATAAAATTTAAAAAATTTTTATCAACACTATCTATTGAGAATTCTGCAATACTAAGACTATCTAAAGCTGAAATCAATTCAACTATATCATTATCGACTTTATCAGTCTCCATATTATCTGTATTGGCATGTGTCATTTCTGCAGTTAATATTCCTATGCTTAACTAGCAGTTCTTTATTATCTCCTGTTTTACATTGTCCCAAGTGTCTGCAACTATTTCAATTGCTTCTTTAATATTTAGTTTTTTCATCTCTTGTCCTTCATTCAACTTACAAATCCATTGTGATACTAATATCTTTCAATAATAAACTTTAAAATTGTGAATAATTCCAGCATCACATGATTGAATATAAGCTGTCGTTTTGCTGGAAGAAATTTAATTGTAAATTTTTAAGACCGAGAAACAAGCCATCTGTATACGCAGAACAATTATCAATCAACAAAAGTGATTTCTAAGATAGTTGATTGTCAAACCACTTCAGCCATTCATTTCACCTTTCAATTGTCATCCAGGCTTTTTTATTGTTAAAATATCTGACAGGCAATATTGTCAAGTTGATATTTTTGAAACAACAAAGATTTTTGACTTTTCCTATAACAAATGGCTTTAGTTTTTCGTTTCCGTTGCATTGCAACAAAGCAAGACTGTAATGTATTCTTTGTTTTTTTTAGTACCTTTCACTTTATCACCTTTTGATACAAGTGTTTTGTTCAGGCCTAAACAGAAAAAGAGTCCTGTTTCATTTGTATTGTAAACATCATTTATGTTAAATGTAGCTATTATTTGTTGCAATTCTTTTCTTCCATTCTCTACTTGATTAAGACACACAGATTCGCTTTCATCAGTAATAGTTTTGTAATGAATGTCATATCAATTTTGAAACTTTTTCAACCACCCGTTTGATACTTTAAAATTAGAAAATTGTGTACCCTGTTCTATATTTTATTATAAAGCTCAACTGCCTTCATTTTTAACAAATCTTGAGAAACTGAAATATTTTGACTGCGTAAATCTTTAAACCATTTATAAAGTGTTTCTTTTAATGAATAAAATCGTGCCATCTGGATATGTATTTTTTTCAGATTTGAACTCTTAGCACCTGCATGCAACTGTAGAAATTTCTCTTTATTCCGAAGAATACCACTTATAATGGAACATTCTACATCAAACTCTACAGCCAGTTTTTCATCACTCAATTTTACATCAGTATCTTTTCTCCTAATGATATCAACTTTGTCTTCAAGTAATAGATTTTTTCTTCGTTTTCTTTGCTTATCTGCATTAATGGTCTTTGAAGAACTAGCCATATTTAATCAAATTTAACAAAATACTAGTGTAATGATATATTGGTAAGTCTGTTACTCACTCTAGCAGAGATTCGCATAACCATTATAAGGGTAAGTAAACAAAAGATAATTTGAGACATGTTTTATTTGACCAAGTCTTTATTAATTTTCTTTTTCTATTCTCTTACATTTTACATGTTATTTATATTTCTCTTTATACATCTGTCTATGACAACTTAGCTATAGAATAATAGGCGCTAATACAATAGGATGACTAAAGCTGGATAACATAATTCTTTTTTACAATTCTCTCGTTTCTCCCTTTATTATCTAATCTTTATAGTCATCTGGGTACTAACATGATAATTGGTTATGTAACGGACATCGTGTTCCATTTTTACCTGTTATATTCCCCACACTTATCGTATATGTATCACGTATTCTTTTTTTCTTTTTATAAAGGGATGGGGATTTCATCATAATATGATTTATGTCTCTTATTTTGTAGGGGTATCGTGAATACTTTCATCAAGAGCAGATGACACCCATTGTATTAGGGAAACCGATCACATTGAATGAGCCAGTGTTGGTATATACAAAAGGTTAGGATCACTAGGATAATGTGCGTACCTTCGTTCACCAAGGTAATCTATTTTTTTTTTTAACAGAACTCTTATTTTGCTTCTTCGATACGAATGAAGTCAAGGCCCATAGATATTCAGTAAAACTTTGGATCTATTATGATTTCTCATGTGGGGAGAATGTGCAATCGTGATCCTAATAGTGATCGCTATTATGGCAGCATCGAGATGTCGTATCTGAGGTCATGTATAAACTTGAATCTGGTGCTTGTGATTGATTTTGTTGTGGGGACTTATCGAAGCGTTTAGACATTTTTTGTCATTCTGAATATATATGCATGTATATACAGTATATTCTTAACATGCATTATCCGTAATCGTGATTATAATGATATTTCGACATTTCCAGTCATTGGTCTTGATGCAATTCGGTAAGTTGCAATGTTTTCTTTCTTTTGCGGCATTCTATCGTTGGCTTCTAACTTTTTCTTACCAGTCTTTTCTTAGTCCATGCTTCATGTTCGATTTATCATCCACGGGTTCTTCTTGATCCTCGGTGATATCCATCATCCCTGGCATGAGCTACCGGAGTCTCGTTGGTAAGTTTGGTTCTCTGCCATTGGTTTTTCCGCTATTCTTTTCTTTTTACTGGACAGTCCTTCTTCTTTTTAGGAACTCGTCCCTTGCTTCTTTTGGCGTCGTGACTTTCGTGATCGTCAGCACCCGGTATAACCTTTGGGACCAGCGACTTGTTGAGAGATAAACGTTCTCTTTCTTTTCTTTTCTTTTTTATGTATAGTTGTATTTCTTCATTGAAGTTGTATCCAAGTTTCCTAACCAGTGATTCGATAAAATTATCAATCATATGAATGTGCACTGAAATGTAATATTCTTCAGAAGCGGAAGTCATGGTAAACAGATGCCATTCCTAGTATGATACTTCAGAGCAGCACAAGAAGGTATAGTGTCCTGCCTTTGTCTTGGTATGTTACTTAAAAAAAAGAAATGGCTATGCTAATCCATAGTTTTTTCTTTATACATTGGAGGTGCATCGATTTTCTTGTGATTATACGACATATCGGTTATATCCTCAGGGCCTTTTCTTGTTCTTGTTTCTTCTTTAGGCAGGGGTGGCAAATTCATATTGTTATAGTGTCATTAATTCATCATCATTTTTTTTATATATATTTTTTATTTTTTTAGGAAGAGGCGCATATACTACCGATCCCATGATCATCATTCTTCAGGCTTCACTTTTTTTTTGCGCAAGCCATTCTGGAGCTCCTATCGTTGGTTTGGGACTTCTTTTAGGTCAGGATAATATTTCTTCCTTTATTCAGCATATATCAGTAGCTGAATCCTTCGTAGGTATCATTATTGGAGCAGAGTTGGTTATTGCTTTTTGGATTGTCGCTTTCATCGCTTCTCAAAGATTGAGCTTCCTTGGGAATAATGAAGCGTCAGATCTCACAATCACCACCAAAAATGTAACAGTGTATCAGCGAGTCTGTCACTTACTCTAGCAGAGATTTGTGTAACCATTACAAGGGTAAGTAAATGAAAGGTGATTTGAGGCATGTTTTATTTGATCAAGTCTTTATTAATTTTCTTTTACTCACTATAACTACCTGTTTTTATTCTCTTATATTTTACATATTATTTATACTTCTCTTCCTTATATCTGTTTATGATGACTTAGCCATAGAATAATAAGCACTAATACAATAGAATGACTAAAGCTGGATGACATAATTCTTTTTCACAATCCTCTCATCTCTTCCTTCATAGTCATCTGGGTACTAATGCAACAATTGGTCACGTAACAGACATCATGTTACATTTTTACCTGTTATACTAGTTATAAGTAAACAAGTGATATGCTTAATTGTTTAATAAAACTGACAATTGCTTTGATCAGATTTACTTAATACATTTTTTGAACTTGAAAATGTTGGCTTTTATATAGATTTATTTCTAATTTAATATTAATGTAAAGCATAATAGCTAATTATTACAACCTAATTTATTATCGTCTGATTTAGTTATTACCTGATTTTATGGCCCGATTTATTTTATTGCCTGATTTTATGGCCTGATTTATTTTATCACCTAATTTATTGCCTGATTTTATGGCCTAATTATTTTATCATTATGGCCTGATTCATCTAATTATATGAAGTAAATGATCAGCTGTCCCATACAAATACTGTATATATATATATATAGAAATGGCATGATTTTTTATGTAATTTAAGGGATATAAACAAGATTGGATAACTATAAAATTGGGAAATTGGAATTGTGAAAGTTGAAGATAGGAATATATTTGAGTGAAATACAACTAAGTATATTTATATAGAATTAGAATAAGAAAATTCGTTTCACGCCAAAGTTGGAATATAAGTGAGGTTGGAATATACTGTAACTGAAGGGAATATAACTAAGATATGATTGTAAGAGTTCTGTTGAAAAAAAAAATGCATGGTACGCATATGATAAGTGTGGAGAAAATATAACAGGTAAAAATGGAACGCAATATCCATCACATAACCGATTGTCGTGTTAATGTCAAAATAATAACTTTTATTTCTCTGTTGTGGAATTATATGTTGATACTGTATATTTATTTTTTTGTATTACGGATTATAAATAATCTAAGCCACTCGATCATATGATTTATATTAAATAAAATTAATATTAATAAAATTTTTTATCTGATCTAAAATTTCTGAGGTTATTATATATAATTCATGTAACAAGTTGTTATAGATACATTTTTTTTATTTAATAATATAATTTTTGAAAAATAATTAATTTAATATAATAAATTATAATTAATATATTAAATTTATTATACAGGGGAGAGACAAAAGTTTCTGATCAGTTTTTTAAACTCCAATTTATTCATGTTTCTACTGTATAATAAATAAAACTATATTTAATATATAAATTAATTATACAGTAGATTAATATATAATTACTAATAAATGTAAAGTTATATATAAGGTTATGTGCAAAGTATATTAAAGTATATTTTATACAATCAGTCTTTATAAATTAAGTTACAATATGATCGCTAAAGTTCTTCAAAATTTTTTTTTCTATTTTTATGTTATACATATACATACTATACATATTATATATATAAATTATAATAAAAACAGTCTGTATAAAGTCGACAAAAAATTTAAAAAATCGATTAAATCAAATTCAAGTTATTATTCATCTTTAAGATCAAAATCATTGCTAATCAGCTTCCAACTAGAATTACAAAATTGGATTTGAACAATAAACAATATCCTGAATACAAATTACAAAATTATTTTCAATAAAGCTTATTAATAACTTGATTTTAGAAAAATTCTATTTCATTTTTAAATGTTTCCATGTTACTGTATGTTTAAAAAATAATCAGCAAATTACTTTTAATTATCCAGATTCCAAAATATTTCTTATATTTAAAAATATATAATTTTCTAAATGCGATTAGCTATTTATAAATAAATTTTTATTATAGTTGTTTATAAAAACAATTATTCATTTATTCTTCTAAAATACAATAGGATATAAGAAAGAATTAACTGCAATTCAACATGGAGCTATACTTTACAGTTATCAACATGGAATTCATATCGCACTATTGCCAAAAATATCAATTGTAGTTTATCTACAGTTTATAATATTTTAAAACAATATGTTGAAACAGAATAAACAGAGTCCAAAACACATGCTAGCAAACTATATTTGTTCGAAACCCCACAGCTTAAATGAATGGTAATAAAGAATTTGTAGCTTTGCAAAATTGGAATTCAAATGTTTTAGAAAAAAAAAACAGGTCAGCTTGTTTCTACACATATCTTAAGGCATTCACTTTACTCACTTGGATTGAAAAATTGCATAGCATAATGAAATCCACTCCTTACATCAGCCAATAAAGAAATACAATTAGTGTAGTATTTAGATTATACAAACTGAACAAAGAAAGATTGGGCAAAGGTATTGTGGAGCAATGAATTGATCTTTATTCAATTTCAACAAAGTTACTGCAACAGAGTATGGTATAAGCCAAAAGATGAATGATCTCTTTCATATATTTTAGCCACAGTAAAGCATAGTCCAAACCATATATATTGGGGTTGTTTCTCACAACAAAAATTAGAACCACTTATACCATTGTCTAAAATAGTAACTGGCATTTCTTATGTAAAGGTTTTTCACAAATATATTATATCAATTATAAAGCATATGTTTTCTAAAGATAAGGGTAAGGGTTCTAAAGATAAAAGTTCTAAGAGTAAGGGTTTTAAGGATAATAGTTCTAAGGGTAATAATTGATTTCAAGAAGACAATGCTCATCCTTACATATCAAAGATTGCAACTAAATTTTGTATAAAAAAAGGTTTGCGTAAGTTGTATTGGCCTATCCAGAATCCTGATCTT